GAACCATCTTTTCTAAGGCGTATCTCTCCTCTGGGATTTTAGAACAGCTCAGGTCCTGCAGTTAGTAACAAATGAACAAAGAAGCCCACATTTATTTTTCACCATTTATACTTGGTGATCCTTCATAGGGAGGGCACTACATATACCAGAGTGGGCTAAGAACTGACTTCAATCACAGTCTGGATAGCTAATGTTCTTTATGATCTTGGAGAAGACTCTGCGCCTCAGTATCTTCATCTGTAAAATGAGGGTGGTTGTAACTGACTTACCTTCCAGCCTTGCAGATGAGTTAAAAAGAAAACACTACCTTAAAGCCTGGAAAATCTCACCCATCATTTCCTATTTATTCATCCATGTAGGAGAGGCAGTGCATAATTTCATAGTGTCTTAGATCTAGTGCTAGAAGGTGCCTTGGAAGTAATTTCATTCAAACCCCTCATTTTTCAGATGATGAAACTGAGGTACAGGGAGATTAAGGGACATGCCCGAAGTTATTCAGGTAATAAATGTCAAAGGTCACACATGACCATGAGCATCACATAGTCATTATGAATCTGTTTCTTTATCTGCAAAATGAGGATAATAATGTCTTTATTATCTGGTTAGTCATTTTCAGTTATATCCAACTCTTAGTGACCCCATTTGAGGTTTTCTTGTCAGAGGTACTGGAGTGGTTTGCCATTTCCTTCTCCAGCTCATTTTACAGATGAGGAAACTAAGGCAAATGGGGTTTAAGTGACTTGTCCACAGTCACATAACTAGTAAAAGTCTGAGGCCAGATTTGAACTCAGAAAGACGAGTCTTTCTTACTCCAGACCTGGCACCCTATGCACTGCACCACCTAGCTGCCCACCTGTATTACCTACCTCATAGGATTGTTGTGAGGTTCAAAAAGGGCAAGGTGTTAAAGCAAATGTTAAAGCAACATATCAATGACCATTATTATGCCTCAGTTTCCTCATCTGTAAAATGAGAATATTAATAGCGCCTAAGTCTCAGTGTAACATGTTGTGTGGATCAAATTAGATAACCTGTAAAAAAGTGCTTTGCAAATTTCAAGGAAATATGTTTTTTTGTTTGTTTGTTTTTTTTACCATCGTCACCATCACCATCATTATCATCATCAACATTATTATCAGTCAACTATCCTTAAATATGGAGGCTATGTAATGACCATAAATTTGAGCTGTAATTTGGGGAGAATGGTAAAAGTCAAACACATTTCTAGAATCCTTTCCCATAATTAGCTGATTTCTCACAGAGAAATCTCTGTGAGACTCTCACAGAGAAACTTTCCTATGGAGAACAGATACAGAAGAGAAGGTAAATTGGCCTTCTATAAGAAAAAATACTTTTATTTCAAGGTGTAGGATCAACTTCTATGATTTTTTAAATAGTTTGATGTCAAGCATGTTCAATCAGAATCTTTGTTTTGTTGGTTTTTTTTTCTTAGTTGACTCCAGAGAAGTTTCTGATTCCATTACACACATATTAATATTGATCCATTTGTTATAGATGCCAGAAAATCCAGGTCCAAGTGGTGCTTCTAAGCCATCCTCATTGCCTGTTGCCTTGGTGACTAGAGTGACTGCTTCTCACTGCTTTTTTTGAAAATGAGAAAAGGGGTCACATGTGATAGGAAAAGGCCAGATTTTTGTTTTATTTCGTTTGTTTGTTATTTGTAGTATCCAGAAGTCAGTGACTGTTAAGACAAGTATGGGTTACACTGAGACACAGAGCCAAATAAAGATTTGGATCCAAGGAGATCCACCAACTTATTTTTACCCAACTAATTACATATGAAAAGATTTATTATATGAATAAGTCAAATACATTTATAGATGAACTTGAAATATCTTTGGCTCATAGATTCAGACTAAGAAGTCAGGCAGTCCAACCCTTCATTTTATATATGAGGAAACTGTGCCTCCATGAAATGAAATCATTTGTCCAAGGTCACACAGGTAGTAACTAGGCAGCATAATATTATGGAAGGAGCACAGGAGTGGGAGTGAACAGGCCTTAAGTCCATTAATTAATTAATCCAAAAGATTTTATTTTAGTAAGGGCCTGGCACTGTGTTAGATACAGGGGATAAAAATACAATAAATGAAACAATCCCTTTTCTACTAAACTGGTTGTATGGCCAAGGGTGAGTCACTTAAATTGGCTTTATGTCAATTTCCTAATCTGTATTATAGGGGTAATGATGTTGAAATTATGTGCTGCATGGGGTTCTCATAGGGATTCAATGAGTCGACGAATGTGATGATATGTCACATAACCATATATGGATGTCAGCTATTTTATGATTCCCTCCAGACTCAAAATTCCATTATTCCAGGAAGGTGATGTTGAGCTCAGTTCTTCTAACAAATATATAATGAACAATACTCTGTAATTAATATTTTTAAAAATAATTATGTTTAAGATGGATATAGTAATTTAGAGGCTCTTGTGATAATGGGTTTCAGGTTAGCTTTGAAATCTTTTTTTTTTTCTTTTCGAAAGGATGCAAGAATGCAGCTCCCTAACCATGTAGCATTTTCAAATTATAAGTATGTAATAACAATGCTTTGGAGTCATCACATGAATCAGCAACAGGATGCTCTTGCAAGTGCTGTACAAAAGTATAGCTAGTATCCTATTTGGATTCAAGTAAAGGACAACATTAAAATCAAATTAGAATTTACTTCTCAGCCTCCCTCTTGTAATGTATTAAGAGAAAAAAAAAGCTTCAGTGAAGCTTCGCATTTTGTATTCTTAATTACTGAAATTACTTTGAAGAGGATGAATCCAGAGGACCAAGAATGAAGCGTATTACCTACCCTCTGACACCGAGGTGATGAACACAGGACAGACTAAGAATTTGCGGGGTGGGGGGGGCATGACTGATGCAGACATTTGTTTTGCTTGATTATGAATATTTGTTACAAAGATTTTGTTTATTTTTTTTCAATGATTAGTGGGAAGGAGAGAAAATGGACTTTTGTTCATTGAAAAAAATTAAATGAAAAAGAGGATATATACTTTATATGTGTGTGTATACATACATACATACATGCATACATGCATTATCTTTTATATATACAAGTGTATTTATACACTAAACTTACACCTTGAGCTCAATTTTTACATATACACACTCTGGATCAGGTATGTTTGTATGTGTATGTATGTATGCACACACATGTGTACATAGTACATGCATATATGCACACAATATTTATACACATATGTGAGTGCACATATATGTATATGTATGTATAAATATACATACATTTATACCTAATCCAGAGTGTGTATATGCAAAAACTGAGCTCATGGTGCATACATATATGTGCATATAGACATACATATATGTATATGTGTACATACATGCATGTACACACATACATATTCCTAATCCAGAGTAGTATCTAGTAGGGGACTTATTCTGTGTTAGTTCAAAAAAACAAAAGCAGAATCAAATGGATAGAATTAGGTATAAGTTCAATGAAAAAAATTAACAACTAAAGTTGTCCAAAAATGGAATAGGCTTCTTGATTATGTTGAGAGCTTATCATCCTTCAGATGGTTCAAGCAGATGATAGATATCATGGATAGAATTTCTTTATTATGTAGCAGATTTTATTAAATTTTATTAAACCTCTGAAGTTCCTTCCAACCCAATTGAATGATGATGATGATGATGATGATAATGGACATCTATCAAGGTATTTTTAAACTTTGAAGGGCTGACACAGATTAGCTTAGAAGTAAGTTTGGTTTTAAAATTATTAAAAATACTAGATTATTGTTTTTCTTCTTTGAGGTTATTCTTTGCCTTGATTGTATGTTGAACACTGAAGACATGAATAGCTCAAGTTTACAGTAAATTAGTTGCCTCCCTGTTTACAGAATTTATTGTATTTTTACAGTATTTATTGTAATTATGGGATGAAATAATGAAATCAAGAGTGGTTTTTCCTTTGATTTTCTTTCCAACTGTATGTTCCTTGCGTTACATGTAGATGTAATGATCATCTAATAAGATGAGTTTCACTGGAAATATAAGTTCACTCACAAGCACAATGCTATTCCAATTAGGCCAGCTCTAATTTCTATAAAAATCTCTACTGGTATGTTTGACTGTTTCTTAGAATTTTAGTATGAAAGCTACCATTAGGAATGCCAGAATTCTAGGCTTCAGACATATTTAAGATTTCACTTTTAAAAGAAAATTGGAAGCAGTTGTATCCTTGACCCCAAGAAAATCATAGGTGCACAGGTGTTATGATTTGTGTTCTAAGACTTTCTCTTCAGAAGTCCAAGAATACTCTCAGGAGAGAATTTTTTTCTTTTTTTGCTTTTTGGTGAGGCAACTGGGGTTAAGTGACTTGCCCAGGGTCACACAGTTAGGAAGTGTTAAGTGTCTGAGGCTGGATTTGAACTCAGGTCCTCTGGACTCTTAGGCGGGAGCTCTATGCACTGCACCATCTAGCTGCCTCAAGAGAAGATTTCTTGAGCTTTGGTTCTGTGCATTTTGGGAATGAGGTTTCTTTCCCCCCCATCTTTTAGTAGAAAATGTAGGAAACTTGAAGTAGACATAGTTAGCAAGCAGCTGTATCCTTTTACATTTATTTAGGGGAAAAGTATTTAATAAAGAAGAGCAGTAATTGCTATGTTGAAATAAAAAATTGGTATAACTTCTGCTCATGCCCTCTATCCCATTGCCAAATAATGGGATCTGCTATATTCATTAGCAATGGGGTGGGGGTTTGGGCCTCCCATTATAAATGGTTAGAAGAGCTGGAACTGGTACTGGGTAGGTATCAGGCACATCCTCGCAGCTGGGGAGAGATTATCATTCACTTACTCTTCTATGTATTTATAAAGAGTTTGCATCATAGAGATTATCTTTATAAAGCATGTAATTGTGTGTCTGAGAAGTTGAATTGACTGAGAACAAAATTACCCTTATTTAAATTATCTTTGGTGCCTTTTTTTTTTTCTGAAAGGAACTTGTCGAATACTATAAGCATCATTCTCTTAAAGAAGGCTTCAGAACTTTAGATACTACTCTTCAGTTCCCTTACAAGGAGCCTGAAAATTCAGCTGGACAGAGGGGTAGTAGAGCAAGCAGCAACTGTGAGTATTGTAATTATAATTTAGAATACCATTAGTTGTCTCTTAAGGATTAAAGGCACAATAGCAGAGAACATCTTCATTCTGTAGTTTTGACAGATAACCAATTAATATGGTAATGCCTTGAGCTAGGACTTTTTTTCTGAAGCTAAGCAGAATCAGGTCTGCTAACAGGTTTATGAATGTGTCTAGCTATATATATATATATATATTTTTTTTTTATTTTTTTTTTTTGCTGCCAAATTTAAAATTATGTTCGTGCTTGGAAATCTATCAGAAATGTGCGTGGTATGTTAATTCAAAATCTATCCACTTTTCACTGACTTTTGTATTGGCCAAACTATTTCTAACTTAGACACAATGTTTATGGACATTGTGATGATTTTACGATGCTATTTGAATAAAGCTGACATGTAATTCTCCTGGCATTCCAACCAAGATAATTCCAACTATTGACCAATGGAAACTTTAGGTTATGTTAAAAGATTAAAGGATATGATCTCTGAAAGAAGGAGTTTGTTAACCAGATGCAAGGTTTGTTCTAAAAATCATTTAGAAAACACCTCTCAAAGTAGCATCATATGATAACAATGCAGAACATCTTAAAGGGTAGTATACACAATTGTATGCTTTTAAGTCAATAACACTTTTTCCCTCCCAGTTGAAGGCAACAGTCATTCCAAAATGTGATAAAAGATAGTGGTAAAATGAAGCTGGGAAAGATAGGTAATAGAATGGTTGGCAGAACTGGGATCTGAAAGATTTTGAGTTCCTGATACAGGAGTCTGAAAGTCAACAAGATGGAACTTAATAGGGATAAATGCAAAGTTCTTTACTCATATTAAAAATAAATGAAATTCATAAGCACAAAATGAGGGGGAAACTAGAACTCTTTTAATTCATGTAAAAATGACCCAAGATTTTTAGAAGAAGTTATATTTAATAGAAATCAACAGTGTGAATGAGCAGCCAACCCTAATGCCCCTCTACCTCAAAAAATATAGAATTAATAAAAGCATAGTGTCCATACATCAGGAGAGTGTTTCATATGGGTAGCCTTAACATGTTCAGAGAAAATGGAGAACGCTGCATTGGCTGTGGTAAAATTATGAAAGAAAATGGATATGAGTTACACCAACAGGCATATATAGGGATGTCCACACTGATGAGGTCATAGAGCCATTTGAGTATTTGTGTAGAGCAGGGGAACCTGCAGCCTCAAGGCCACATGTGGCCTTCTAGGTCCTTGGGTGTGGCTTTTTGACTGAGCCCAAATTCTGCAGAATAAATCCTTTTATTAAGGGGATTTGTTCAATGAAGTTCCTTCCTTCCTTCTCTCCTTTCTTCCTTTCTTCCCTTCTTCCTTCCTTCTTTCCTTCTATCCTCCCTCTGTCCCTCTCTCTTCCTCCCTCCCTCCCTCTCTCTCATTCATTTTCCCATCTATCCATCCATCTCACTACCATGCATTTCTAATCCTTTGCCAAGTCTTATTGTTTCTTCTACCAAAACATCTTTCACATACCACCACTTCTCTTTCCTCACATAGCCACCACCTTAGTTTACCCTTTCAAGGCTCACCTGGTCAATTTAGAGCCTGCAAATAAGTCTGCCTGCCTCAGATCTCTTCCCCTCTCCAATCCATCCTCCACATACCTATCAAAAGTGATCATTCTAAAAATATCTGACTATCTCACTCCCCTTCTCAATAGGCTTCAGTGACTCCCTATTACCTCCAGTAGCAAATACAAACCATACAACATTTGGCATTTAAATTCCTTACAACCTGTTCCAACCTACTTTTCTATGCTTAATAAACATTGTCTTCCTTCACGTAATCTATGGACTAACCAAGTTGGCCTTCTTATTTCCTTTCACACAACATTACATCTTTTGTGTTTATACTTTTGCATAGGCCAAGCCTCATATTCTCTTTCCTCATCTCCCCCTTTTAGGGTCCTATGTACCTTCAAGGCTCAGTTCATTGTCCCTTGCTGCATGAAGCCTCCTTTCTGGAACATGCCCCTCCCACCACACACACTCATAATGGCTAGTGTCTCTTTTATCCCCCAGAGAAGACCTTGTATTTGTGTGTGTGTATACATATGTACACATATACATATATACATATACACACATATATATAATATACTTAGATGTGTACATGTTATTTCTGTTAACAAAATGTAAATTCATTGAGGGCAAGGACTGTTTCATTTTTGACGCTGTATGCCCAGCACCTTTTAAAGTTTCTAGCTGATAGCAAACAATAAATACATGCTGTCCTCTAACCTGTATCCTAACTATATCCATCTATCCTCATCTGTCTATCCATCTGTCTATCTACCTACCTATCTATCTATCTATCTATCTACTTATCATTTATATATCTATATAAAACCATGTGTATGTAACATATAGAATATAGAGTTTAGGATGTATATGAGAATCATAAAATTTCAGGATTGGAAGGATCTAGAAAGGTTTGTACAGAATTAAAACTAGTGGGTTGGGTTGAGGTATGTACCATTGGAGGGAGTACCCATGAGCAAGATGAATTGAAATTCTGGTTCTAAGCTTAGAGCAACATGTAAAAAGAACTCCATGGTTTAGTGAAAGCTTTTTCCTGCTGCTTCCCATGAAATTTGCTGAACAATTTAGAATTCAGCATTATTTGGTGTTATCTTTTTTCCAATCCTTTTAATTTTTACCTGTTCAGGGGAACAAATGAATGCCATTTAAGACTCCGTTAGGATCCTTGGCTTATAAAAGGTGGGAACCTTTAGAAATGCTTGAAAAAGAAACTGTTTGCAGGATATTAATGTTGTCACATTATAGGAAATTGAAAAAAACAACAACAGACTATCTGTAGATTCTGATAGCACGAACAGAATCATTTATGTATGTAGTGTAGTAGAAGCACTTATGAACGTAATTTGTTACCTGATTGACAGACCCTTAGTTGATTCTTATTAGCAGTTCTCATCACAGTTGTCAAGAATGAATGATGAACATGTGGAACACTGAATGCTCTGACAGACAACCTAAGTTACAATAATAGTATAAGTGCCAATTAAAATTTAAAAAAGCATCCTTTTATTTGGGGGCAGTCTATTATCATTTCCCTTCAATTATAGGGCAGTTTATTCACACTCAGGGATTGTGTCCTTGAAAAGCTGTTTTTCTACTAATGTGTTTAGGAAATATCTGATAGTGTTGAGAATAAGCTGATCTATAATTTGTGAAATTGTCTATTGCCTTTTCTCTGCCCGCTTACAAGCCAGAGGAAGAAAGGCTGATGAAGGAGGCACAGACATGCACTCACGTTTGTTGAGAGCAAGGTATAAGCCCTATTAACAGACCCACAGGGCTGTCAAACAGCTACCTCCATCTCTGCAGTAATTTTCCTTAATAATCCTTCTGCTGAAATTTTCTAGCTATATTCACGGCTTTATATAAAGCTAAAGAGGGAGGAGACCACCTGAGGTGATCAGATGGCCTGTACTAGGTGAGCAGGTTTTGTTTCATGCTTATAATCAATCCCTGCTTTACCCTGATTCCAGTTAACATTTCTGGGCCTACATCTTCTCACCTGGAAAAAGAAGGGTTTGGAATACAATTTTAAGGTCCTTTCTAAATCTAAATGCTTTTAGGAATTTTGCTCACTTTTCCAGCTCATATTGTTGGATATTGTGATAGGACCAATATTTATCAGAAGTTATCCCCTTGCCACTTAACATCAGTTTAGACTAGTTTTTCCCTGAAAAGTGACAAAACAGTCCTTGGGACTTAATGGAGAGGGGGTTTGGGTAGAGAAGGAGGTTCCCAAGGCTCAAAGTACTTGACAACTTCCTGGTAGCCTTTGACCATATTGACCTGGCTTCCTGGTCACAGGCCCATCCACATGGGGCCTTGGCCCTTCAGATTTCCTTGCTGTCCTGAGGCTTCTGAGTGACAGCCCTGTGGCCCTGCTAACCAAATCTGTTTTTCTCAGGACAGGAGGGTAGCCACTAGCTAACAGTATCTTCATTGAAAATCCTTTCTATTCTGTGACTAAATAATCCTTTTTTTTATTAACTGTTGAATGACATATGAGGGCTTCATCTAACCAGAGTTGGGCTTGCCCCTAACAGTTGGTTTGCCAATCACTAGGTATACTATCTGGGGCTGGAGGAAGACTTGAGAAATGAGTCTTTATGGTCAGTGGTTTTCCCTTTGCTTGTTTTACTGAGACCAAAAAAAAGAAATCACTTTAAACATCCCTGCATAGCTTTAGAGAGACTCTGGGCAACCAACCAATTAAAATGAAAAATGTATCCTTTTATTTGGGGCAGTAGCACTTCCCTTCAGTTGTTTTTTTTTTTTTTTTTTAATGATGAAGCAGTTTTTAAGAAGTACTTCAAAACTCAATTGTAGAAGGCAAAAATATTATCAATCGGATGTTTAATGTCTATTATAGCTAACAGTTCATAATCACGATTAAAGCACAAACTCATGCAGTCCACGTATATAATGACCTTGGACCAGACCATGCTTCACATTGCACCCAGCTGATCCACACTGTCCAACTACCATAATCAAATCAACACTACTAGAAAGGCTTTGGGCTTGTCAGTGCCCTCCTGGAGGGTTCCACTCCCCACCCACTGTGGTTTCCTTCCCTTCCCTTGCTACTGATCCCCTTTAACGCGTTGCCCACTGAATTAGAATGTAGGCTCCCTGAGGGAAGAGATTGTCTTTGCTTTTGTTCTGTAGCAGTAGTATTAGGGGCAGCACTTGGCCTATAATAAGCACTTAATAAATGCTATTCATTCATTCAACCTAGCTCCTTCTATGGTAGTCCTACTCTGATGCTTCTTTATGTTCTGATTGTGATTCTTGGTTCCTGAAAGATCCCAAAGGAGGCCAAATTATTCAGGTCTTACTAAACTAGAAAAGCTTCAGGCATGTATGTGTGGTGGGATGTGGGATCTGAAAGGATATTTATTAAGCTCCTATTATGTGCC